CCCCCAGTTTCTTAATGAGAACGGGGTGAGAGACAGTGTCAAAGGCCTTCCAGAAGTCCAGGAAGACGATGTCCACTGCTACCCCTGCGTCTAAGGATTTGGTGACCTGGCCATAGAAGGCCATCAGGTTGGTCTGACAGGACCTGCCTCGAATGAACCCGTGTCCTCCTTCCTCCCTTTTTGAAGATGGGAACCACGTTGGCCCTCTTCCAGTCCTCTGGCACCACACCAGAGCACCACGAATGCTTGTACAGCCGTGCCAGGGGTCCCACAATGACCACAGCCAATTCCCTCGGCACTCAGCAAGGGGAGATCGTCCGGACCAGCTGATTTGAATACGTCCAGTGCCTCCAGACGTTCCCTGACTAGATCCTCCCTGACCCTTGGCCTGGGTGTGCCTCCCCTGGGGCCTGAGGGGGACCGGTGGGGGGGCTGATCCGGTCTCTGCTCAGGAAAATGGAGGCAAAGAAATCGTTAAATATATTGGCTTTGTCGTCTGGTGTGACGACCAGATTTCCTAGCGTGTCTTGCAGGGGCCCCACATTACCCAGTACCTTCTTTTTGCCCCCTATGTATTTAAAAAAGGACTTCTTGTTGTCCTTGATCCAGGTCGCTAGTCCCAGTCCCATCTCCGCCTTGGCCTTCCTGACGCCCCCTGCAGCCCCGAGCAACCGCAGTATAGTCCTCCCTGGGGATGGCCCCTCCCTGCCAATGGGTGTGCGCCTCCCTTTTACTTTCTCTCCCAGCATCTAGGAACCCCATTCTGCTGCAATATGAAGGCAATAACAGTCTCTTTGGATATCTTGCCTGTTTGGACAACAAGCACTTTGTGACTGTGATATCTTACCTCCTTGTATGTACAGCACCTAGCACACTTCCATATGCTACCATAATATACCCCCCCCAATAGTTGCATACAATATGAATTGCATGCATAAAAACAGAACGTGGCACCATGTTCCAACTGGGGCAGGAACCTAAAATAGAGAGGATAGATTACCATTCTTCTTTACTATACTATGCATCCCTTTCCAAGCCACTGTATGTGGCAGCATGAAAAAAGGTGGGGCTATGGCCCTGCTCCATCTTGGTTCCTTTCCTGTATTGCTCTGAGGACAGACAATGGAGTCAGGACAGGCATTTTCTCTAGCAGTGCAAGGTGAGGGTATCCTGTGTACACCTATCCTCCACCCCCATTCCTGCCCCTGCGCAAAGCCTGGTTCTAACACTTGTGCCAGTATGTGCTGAGTCAGAAAGATCCCCCCGGGTCAGTTCAGGCTTCTCTGTAAAAACCCCCATAACAAATGTTTCTGAGACTTTAATGGAAAGATATTTATTTTTAAAGGAAAATTTCCGCTGAACTCCTGCCTGCATATGGGTTTTTCATAGAGAACAGTGATCCCGGCCTACATGAATTCAGTCCCAGGTCTGGGAAGTTGTCGTGATGGTGCTATTCCAGGAGAGACTGCCCGTATTTACATAAGATGTTGACTGCACAGTAGCTTGTTACTACTGTGCCATAGCGTCGCGTGGCATGAAGCGTGACACAACGCTACTGCGTAGCAGTAATGAGCGGCTGCACGGTCAGTGTCATCTAAAAGCCATTCGGTGATGCTGCTGTGCAGTAACTCCTGTGCAGGGTATAAATGACTGCACAGCCATTATACCCTGAAGTCATTTTGTACTGTAAACACAAGTACTAAATGACTGCGCAGTAACAACTGCACAGTCAGTGTCTCGTGTTGATGCAGCCACTGAACATGGACTTACTTGCATACAGCCAGTTTCCAGTGTCAGGAAAGAAGGAAGAAGAGAATTTAACCTAACACTAGAAGTCACAAGCAGGAAATCACACTGTTGAATTGTTTCAGTTTAATTAATCCAAGGTGCTATGAAAGTAAGATGATATTATTACTATACTGTTTTTAACCCAGCAGTGCCCCTGTGATTGACAACCACCTTGCACTAATAGCATAGACTATTCACAACGGTTTCTAACTTTATCAGCATGACTCACACCACTGCAATACACACGCATTTGAAATTTGCCAGTGTATGTTTAACAAAGGAAGTGGCAGGCTGTCCGGCATGTGTTATTTTCAGCCAGGACACCACCTGCGAATGCCACTCCCCTCTGCAAAAGTTGTTATTACGGCCCCAGCCATCTGTAATTCATAGGGAGCGTGTGCCTGCAACAGCCCTGGCTGCTTGTCATTCTTTTAATCCCAAAAGTCAGACAGTGAGTACTTAATGCCCTGTTCCAGTTCTGGCTTTTAAATTAAAAATAAATAAATAACAGTAGCAAGAAAGGAATTGTGCGCATCCACACAGAGGAGGTGAGGGGCCCCGTGCCATCTTTTTCAAGGTACAACTTAGGCCAGATAATCTCTGATCCTCAGAATCCATACAAAGGATACTGCCCCTTCCCTGTACAAAGGGTTGGGTTTAGCCCCCCCCCCCCCCA